CACCTATTTGTTGTTAAAAACCGAATTCCCAACCCATTTAGTCAGAACCATATGGAACATGACTCATGGGAAACAATTCAGAGTTATAAACCACAATAATTTACTGAGTTTAACATTCGATATCAGAGAGGGTCTGCAACAAGGTACAATCAATTCTCCATGTCTATTCTCTCTTTTTACATCACATATGATCAATGCCTTTGAACTTAATAATAACAATGGAACCAATTCGATTGCCTATGCGGACGATCGCATAATCTACGTTTCTGGTAAAAACGGAGATATAATTGGCAATAAATTGAATATTCTGGTTAACAAGGTCAATGCAATGTACTCTGCTTGGAATCTAAGGGTCAACCCAGATAAGAGATTAAAAACATGTCAAAAACTCAAAGAAACAGCATTAAAAACTTTGAGATCAAAATCAAAAACATAGAAACAAACGAAGAATCTAGTATCCCGCATAATGAAATCGTTAAATATCTAGAAGTGAACATAGATAGTTTCAAAGAGGATTGACTAAAGTAGAGGCTCAGATCTCGGGGTTGGACTGACCCCAAACCAAAAATAGTTCGACCCCAACGGAGGGATGCCGCCACGGTCGAATCTGACGGCTGGGCGAACCACTGAAATGTAGTATATACTACATTTCAGTGGGGCGAACTGCCTGTGCGGGTAACTCGGCAGTAGCAGTCCCGCTGTCACAGGGATAGTTTCGGAGGGGGATCTATGTCCTCCTCGCCCTCAGCATGTTNCGGTCCGACGGAGAATTAAATTTTTCATTAATTAACCCTCTTTCGTCCCTTAATCTCTGTAACAAAAAATTAACCCTGCCATGAAAATCAGGGGCCAGTAAGAAAAAAGGATGAAAGAGGGTTAATTAATAAAAAATTTAATTCTCCGTCGAACTGCCCTTTTTTCATCCCTTAATCTCAATTAGGAGGGGAGAGGGGAATTTTTAATTACCGGGCGAATGGTGAAAAGTCAGTGTGCGCCGCGAAAAAATTATTTTTCTTACTGGCCTCTGACTTTCATGGCAGTTTTCAATTTTTTGTTACAAAGATGAAGGGATGAAAGAGGGTTAATTAATGAAAAATTTAAATTTTTCATTAATTAACCCTCTTTCATCCTTTTTTCTTACTGGCCTCTGACTTTCATGGCAGTTTTTAATTTTTTGTTACAGAGATTAAGGGACGAAAGAGGGGTAATTAATAAAAAATTTAATTCTCCGTCGAACTGCCCTTTTTTCATCCCTTAATCTCAATTAGGAAGGGAGAGGTGAATTTTTAATTACCGGGAGTCACTGTGCGCCGCAAAACAATTATTTTTCTTACTGGCCCCTGACTTTCATGGCAGTTTTTAATTTTTTGTTACAAAGATGAAGGGATGAAAGAGGGTTAATTGATGAAAAATTTAATTCTCCGTCGAACTGCCCTTTTTTCATCCCTTAATCTCAATTAGGAAGGGAGAGGTGAATTTTTAATTACCGGGAGTCACTGTGCGCCGCAAAACAATTATTTTTCTTACTGGCCCCTGACTTTCATGGCAGTTTTTAATTTTTTGTTACAAAGATGAAGGGATGAAAGAGGGTTAATTGATGAAAAATTTAATTCTCCGTCGAACTGCCCTTTTTTCATCCCTTAATCTCAATTAGGAAGGGAGAAGTGAATTTTTAATTACCGGGCGAATGGTGAATAGTCAGTGTGCGCCGCGAAAAAATTATTTTTCTTACTGGCCCCTGACTTTCATGGCAGTTTTTAATTTTTTGTTACAAAGATGAAGGGATGAAAGAGGGTTAATTGATGAAAAATTTAATTCTCCGTCGAACTGCCCTTTTTTCATCCCTTAATCTCAATTAGGAAGGGAGAGGTGAATTTTTAATTACCGGGAGTCACTGTGCGCCGCAAAACAATTATTTTTCTTACTGCGCTGTTATTTCCATGACAGTTTCTTCAATTTTTCACAGAGATTAAGGGATGAAAGAGGGTCAGTTGGTGGGGAATTTAATTCTCCATCGAACTACTCTTTTTTCATCCCTTAATCTCAATTAGGAGGGGAGAAGTGAATTTTTAATTCGCGAGCGTATGGTGAAAAGTCACTGTGCGCCGAGAAGAAAATTATTTTTCTCACTGGCCCATGACTTTGTCGTAGTTTGTATTTTTTTGTTACAGAGATTAAGGGATGCAACGGGGATCGATTGATGGGGAATTTAATTCTCCGTCACACCCTCTGTGTTTCATTCCTTAATATTAATTAGCCAGCAAATGAATCACCTGAAAAACATTAAGAACATGCTGAGGGCGAGGAGGACATAGGTTCCCCTACGAAACTATCCCTGTGACAGCGGGACTCAGCGGTGCCAACCCGTGGCGCTCGGATCATGGTATGGGGTGGGAGAAATAATGGTATTTCACAGGAAATCATGGTATCCGCCAATAAAATAGAGTTCTTGGAGAAAATTCAAAAGTTTTGTATCATAAACTTTTTTTAATAACACAAATCAACACAAATATTCGTACAATCTTGACACTCAATCGAAACTTCCCCGAATAATTTTTCAATAATATAAATATTAAATAATTTCAAGTCTCAATCTGGACTTCTTTGAATAGAGTAGTACCTCCGTCATCTTGAACATTTTTTAATAATATAAATATTGAATAATCTCAAGTCTCAATTTAGACATCCTCGAATATCACATCCCCTCCGTTATCTTCTTCGTCTTGCTCTGTCATACTTTCGGATTTTTTGGCTTATCGTAGAGTGAGTCTATGGTCATCCTCGACAATATCTCTTTGGTAGGTCTGAATGCAACACAGCCACCGCTAGCCAGGACATGCTGGATGGTAAACAGGGTACTTCGAACGGTGGATACGATGAGGCGATTTCTCAATTTTGTCTTTATGAGGTTGACTTTGGAGAACACTCTTTCGCTGTCGGCGTTTGAATGAGGAAGCGATAACACATTGAGAACGCAGCGACTGAAATTCTGAAACAAATGGACATCGCCATCGTTCTTCAGGGCCAACAGTTTCGCCCAGAATACATCAGTGTCCAGTCCCTTCATCTCGTTGTCAAGAGGATAGCAGCAAAGCCAGCGCCACTCTTCATCAATCTCCTGGTAATTCTCTTTGGCACAAACTCTGGGGAACGCGACTAGAAGAGGAATGAGAGAAGGCGTTTTCTCTCGTTCAATGCTTGACAGCGTGTATTTGGGCTTGAAAATTCTCAGGTTCTCCAAAAAACTATTCTCAGTCATATCGCTTTCGTACCTCAAGACAGGCAGAGATCAAAAAGGCCTGAAATTTCTCTTGAAAATGTTTCAGTAGATCCGGGCGCTCCTGGATCTTCCTGCTCTGCTGCTCTTGTAACACCTGTGCTCCCAGATACATCTCTTCAATTGGAAGATCTTGTGACGGAATTTTCGAGAATTCCGCCACCTGTACACAACTTAGTCGTAGAATTAAGTAAATCGTAAGAGTGAGTAGGTGAGTGTGAATTTATTTCGATCTTTTCGGAGAGAGAGTCGCGATTCCTTTAACCCCAAAGTTAGCACCCCTACCGAAGGGCGATGCAACACCCCTTTTAGCTCCAGCTCGTAGAAACCGTTCTCCAAGAACATCAGGAAGGGCCTCGCGGGGAAAACAACGTTCGATTTCTATAAATAATCAAATTCATGTGTCGATACACATTAAAAACGAGTAAAAAGTAAAATCTCCGGTTCAAGTAATATTAAAGTTTTTGTTCTCTTTTAGTTTCAGTTATCTTTCTGGTTTACTTCGGATTTTAGGGGATAAATTTTCGGTTTTATGGTTGAGGGAAAATTTACAGTAATTGTATTTTCCTAGTTATATTTTTGTATTTTGAAATCTCGCGAAT